TTTCCCAAACTAGTGACCCTGATGCCCTTGAGGTTGCTGATTTTCTCTTGTTAATGGCTGTAGGAAAATTGCAACTTTAGTTAAGATTGCAAGGGTGGGAGGAGGAGGAGGAGGAGGAGGAGGAAGAAGAGGGGATTAATTTCATCACAAGGCCTGTTGTGATGGCAAACTGCAATTGATGAGGAGGTAGAAACAATCTCTTCATGCTGTGGGGGAAGCGGTTCTAGTTGGGCTGCTTTTCTGCCATCTAATGGCTGTCTGGATTTTTATAGCGCAGATATGGTAGCTCTAGTCCTACTCTTCTCCTTCCACTCTAGGACAGCCTTTGAAAGATGGGCTGTTGCTCTTTATTCTTGATGTGACCCCATTTTTCAAATGGCCTTTGTTTTGCCGGAGACTTCGTGGTGTGTTTGTGTGTACGTACACATGCATACATCTGTGAAAACCTGGATGTTAATGTAAAGATACTGTATATGCCCCATTTTCCATGCATTCCTTGGAGCCCAAATGGCTGCGACATGTATTGTAGAATGTGGTCTTTTGTGAAGAGCATACCCTTATAAAAGCTATGCTGCATCATATGGAATGTTAATTAGAGTCACTTTGTGTGAGATGGGAGGCTATATAAATAAGACAAATAAATAAATAAATAAATAAATAAATAAATAAATAAAATATCTGTAACCTTTCTGCATAGGAAGAATTTGTGAAGTAACAAACTTACAGTAATCTTTTTGAGTGATTATACCTGAAGGTATATGTGTTTATGGTGCTACCATTTAGTCATTGTTATTTTTAAATTCCATTTTATGTATGGAATTAATTATGTTAATTCATATATGTGAGAAAAATATGTAATACAATTCTTTATGAAAACTTGGTATCTAATTTTGGTATCATAATTAATTTCTTTTTCCCAGTTTTATGTCTCAGTTTTACTCTGATCACACACTGTAAATACATCATTTACTAGTGGCACCAAGGTAATTTCAATAGAGTACATAATATGTATAATTTGTCCTTGTGTTTCAAGTGAGTTTTGGAAAACATAAGATCCAGGTTTAGCACATTACTGAGACTAGATATGAAGGAAGAAGCAGTGCAGTAGATGCTGCCACCATACTATGTAAATGTATAAAGCATTATCCACAAGTGTTGTTTAAAAATGCATAGGTACCCATTCTCAGAAACTCCCATTCAATTTGAATCTCATTTTCTCATGGCCTTCATATATTTCCTTGCCTGATTAACTATAGAAGAATCCATGGAGGCTAGATGTTAAGGCAATTGTAGTGCAATACACTAGGAGGACACTAGGTTGTTTAAGACTTCTTTGAGACCATAACAACAAACCTCTTGGAACTATAAACAAAAATTCCAAATCTGTTATGAGATCATAAGTTTTGTAGATTTTTATCCAAGTTCCTTTTTCTATCTAACATATATACACAGAAAAGCAAGATGCACTGACACTTTCAGCCTACACTCAACAGGTGAGTTCATAGCTGCCTAAAGTCATTAAACAATTTTAAGCTTTGTCTTCAATCAGCATACTAATCTAATAAAACCATAAAAGGTAATGGTTGGAAGGAAACTTAGAAATCATCTAGTTTGACTTGCTGCCCGGTGTAGGATCCCCTGCTACAACATCCCCCCCCCCACACAAATGGTGATTCAGCCTCTGTACTTCTAGCAAAGAAGAGCCCACCCTCTCCTGAAGCAGTGTATTCCAGTGCTGAAGGGGAAATTGTCCATGTTATCCAACTAAATTATTTTCTCATAATGTAAACCCACTGTTTCTTATCCTGTCTGCTGGATCAATTCTGAACAATTCTGACCCATCTTTTACATGAGAGCCCTTCAGATACTCAAGACAATCTGTCCCACCACAGTCTTCTCTTTTCCAGCCTAAATATACCCAATTCCTCATACATTTTCCCTTTCGGGCCCTGTTTCATCCACCTGATTTCTTCTGAACATGCTCCAGTTCGTGAACATCCTTCCTAAAATTTGAAGGCCAGAACTGGATACAATATTTTAGGGGTATGCAGACCAAAGCCGAATAGAAAGGAATTATAACTTATCTTGATTTATCAAAAATTATTTATCAAATTTCAAGGCCACTCAACTCCAAAGCAACTCTGGGGATCTTATAATTACAAAAGAATAGTCATATAAATGACAACTGAATG